ATGGAACCATTGTCATTGCGTGGGTTTGACGCCCGAAACTATTGAAATTTTCGACCACCGGGCATCGGCGAACACCACCAGAAAAGATAGTATCAAAAGAAGGGAATGCATAGACACTTTCTCTGTGATAATATTTTTTAGGAGTCCTTAGGAATTTTTGTTGTAGACACTCAAAATCTTGTTCTTGTTACAGTTGCTAATAATTAATACATGTGAAATCTGTGAAGTCAAACGTTCATCTGTTGAATTTCCGGATGTGAAATACGTATTTTGACCTTTCACACCTAAACCAACCAAGTGCGCATGTGTGATGACCATAGTTTCATAATGCGCATATATTTTATGGTCACATTTAAAAATCGGCGAGGTTATATCATATTCCGCTAACTCGTTACTTGTGTAAACAATCGCAAACTATCATGGACATCAAAGATGAGCTAGACAATGTCCTTATCAGGATTAACTTGGGTTGAAACAAAAGGAAATAAGCCAGTTAAGAGGCTTAAGTGGCCACTTGAGAGGCGTCGTGGCTTCTTCCGTTAGTACCTTCCATGCTTATAGCAACAAATTTGTTGGCAAAAACATAATGTATTGCCCTACAAATCAAACAATTCTATTAACAGCCTTGACATGTATATCAAAGCTTTGCTTGTCACTAGAGGGCGCCTTCACATCATAGCCAGTACATGTCACTAGAGGGCACCTTTTACTACATAGCAGTACTTGTCCAAGAAGATAGTGCCTTGACTGGAAAGGTGAAACTATTCAATATGCATAAATATAACATCTATGGTGTATTCTTTGTGCTTTATATGAATAAATCCTGTCAAAAATGTGTGTCTGACAGGAAAATGAATCAAGTAATTGAATGAACAAACGAACGAATGTATAAATAAAAGAATGGGAGGACGGATGTACAATGAAATCTACTACTACAGTCATCGTTTTATATTTTACGAGTCACATCAATGATTAGACGACTGCTACATTGTCTCATTTCATATGCTATTCACATAGCTATCTCATTCACACTACAATAGGCTGTGCACTTAGAGCAGTAACAAGTCATTTCATTTCACTTAATGCTTCTGAAAATAAACACAAGGGCTCAGTAATCGGTCTTTTTATAGAGAGTATTGCTCAAAGCATAATCATGTCTGAATCTATACATGACTGTTAGGGTAGAATGTTACTTGCAAGTTTTTTTTTTACTTATGTGCAGATTTTAGTGAATATAACAGTGAGAATATTTAGCATCAAAACTGTAAGCAATTATTAAGTCAATAACTAGTCAACATTATGTGAATTCTTTGGTTCACTATAGATCTGTTTTTTGAGAAAAATGGTAAAAGAATATGCATAATAGGCATTTAGTTTCCATAGACCATAATGAAAACACATCTCCTACTTAAAAATACACAAAAAAATATTTTCATTTTTTTTTTAATAATTCTGGACATCAAAACCGTACATTGTAAAGACATTCACTATTTATCATAGGAAACAATGTTAAAATGCCTAAAACTGACAAAATATGCTATTTTCACTGTATTTTATTGATTGATTTTCTCTGAACTGAGTACCCTATATTTTTATTTTATTTTCATCATCCTTGTAACAGGAAGTATCAATATGTAAAAATAAAGAAATGACTACACATGTATATTTTTAGTTTGTGTAGCATTCTACCTTAAATAGCTTCACATGTACAATGTACCATACTTGCTCTACTGACATCAATAACATGGTTCACAAATTTTTTATAGAAACTTGATGATGAAAATAGTTCGAACAGGAAAAAGCCAATAAGATAATGTTCTAAGTGGTTGCAATTCCAATGGAGCCGATACAATTCACATACACCTTTAAAGC